GATTGGAGGCCATACCTCTTAGGTTGGAGGCCATCGCTAGTAGGGTTGGAGGCTTGGCTTTGTTCTGTTGAATAGGTTGGTAGTGAGAAGTAGGTTCTCAAGTTTTCACCGTGAATTTTTGGTCCCTTCCCTCGACCAGTCTGTCGCAACTTCGCCAACTACATGCCGAAAACGAAAAGCTCAGCTCAACTTTGCAAATATGACACAACTAGTGTCATTGGCACTCCTGTGCTTACATTTTCTGCACTCACCTTGTTGACATTGTTCAGTGTTTAGTCATTTTTGCTCTCCCCCCAACTCCTCTGAACCGTAGATGTTGGCAATGGAGTAGCCCGAGAACTTGTGAGTTTGGTCGAGGATTACATTGACACCGGCCGCATGATTGATAGCTGCTAGTGACTGGCCTGTGAACCCAACTCACAAGGCAGTCTCTGTGGTATGAAAGGTTGGCTAACTTGCTCTCTACCTAGCAAGACATGCAGAAACTTGAGTGTGGAATTGAAGCTAGGAGCAAGGACGCTACTAGGGGCTCCTGGCCTTACTACTAGGAACAAGGACGCTACTAGGGGCTGAGGTCAAAGGAAAAGAACATCGGAACCTCCTGGACCCAGCAGGAAGTCCACGTACCGTTGCTCGATGACCTTGAAGAACTAATTACTTTTAACTATTGTTTTTAATAGTTTCTTCTTACAACTAGTAAGGCACTTGTTATACTAGAAGCGATGCACTTGTTACTAGTAGCTTCAGTTGAATTTTGCAAACTGGCGTCTCTTTTCTCTTCACGATCCAACTAAGCTGTCAACCACAACTCCAAGAGGCAGCCCTGGGGGGCCCAGTTGGCACAGGGCCTTTCTTGAGTGCCATCTTGCCTGCGCTAGTCTATTAAATTCATGCCGCCAAAGAATGAAAGGACCAATGGCCGCAAAAAAAAACAAGAACAAAGAAAACACTCTACAAAAGATAGGACACTTTCTAGAACGGAACAGCAAAAGGAAGAACGTGCGGAGGGTCAGTCTGTTGGAACATCACGTAGGCACTTGGGCACCTTGTTCCTCAGCTATCCTGGCATCTTCTTTCGCCCGCTCCAGGATCTGCGGATTCCGCGAGTGGATAAACGCAGGCATAGCACGTTACCACGTGTGACGCCTCTGGACGGGCTGGAGGACAATCCTCTCCGGAAGGGCCAAAGTGCTGACCTCTATAACCTCAAAGGCGCTTTTCGGACAGGTGCTTTTGGCAAGCAAAGGGCATCGCTACTAGGAGCAAGGCCACTCGAAGGCATGATTCCACTCGAAGAATTTATCGAGATGTGTCTCACGGCGTTTCAGAGAAGCCCCACCGGAATCGTACAAAGAGCCTCAGCTACGGTTTGCAATGTGCCCTCTCAGTAGCGCAGGTCTAAACAGGCAACTGACTCCAAGGAACAAAAGAGAGAAATCTTTCGGTTCATTTTTTTGCGGAGGTATGCCGTGGGGGATGGGTAGTGCCTGGGTTGGAGGAAGCTGCCAAGAACAACATGGGGAAGGCACCATGATCTTAAAGGAAACGGTCACAGTTGTAACATTGCTACATATTCAAGGCCATCGATATTGACTTGGAGGCCATTGCTCTTAGGTTGGAGGCCATTCCTATTAGGTTGGAGGCCATCACTCTTAAGTTGGAGCTTGGGTGGAGGCAAGTCCTATTAGGTTGGAGGCAATTCCTTTGGATTGGAGGCCATCGCTCTTAGGTTTGGAGACCATCGCTGCTAGGGTGGAGGCCATGGCTCTTAGGTTGGAGGCCATTGCTCTCAGAGTGGAGGCGATTCCTATTAGGTTGGAGGCCATGGCTCTTAGGTTGGAGCTAGGGTGGCGGTAAGTCCTATTAGGTTGGAGGCCATTCCTATCAAGGTTGGAATGGCCATCGCTCTTAGGTTTGGAGGCCATCGCTAGTAGGGTTGGAGGCCATCGCTCTTAGGTTGGAGGCCAGCGCTACTAGGGTGGAGGTCATTCCATTTTGGTTGGTGGAGGCCATTACATCAGATCTAATCTCGTCTCACTGAGTGTCACCTGGGTTGCCCATACGCGCCGGCAACGTAAAGCCGCCACCGCCACCGTGTTGCGGCCGTGCAGACAATGCGGAGCCCGCGCGTGCAGGCATCACAGAAGGCATTGCGCCAGAGCGCACCGCCGCGAGGATCTCCTGGCCACAGTTGGAAACGGATAGAGAGAGAAAGAGAAACACATTCAAAAAAACAACATTTAAAGTCGTTCCAAGATGTTCAGAAATAGTATTGAACCCTTTCCTCTTGACAAGGCCAAAGCCTGCCTCGAGAAACATTTGTATGCCAAAAGCATGTGCCAACCTTGTGTCTAAAAGCCAGGTTTGGAGGTGCTTTGACGTATTGCCACGTTTTCACATGCACGTCCCGTTTTGGGCCTTGAATGAATGGGGCACAATATGGCCGCAGAATTTAGCAATTAGTCCCGCCTAGTCCCAACAAACCAATCTCTCCAGTTCAACCTTTTACATTTCACAAACACCTGACCACACATCCATTAAAGCCCAACCTTCGAAAGAAATCAACAACACAAATGAGTCCCAATGTATTTGAATGTAGTTGCAGTTCCGATCTGTTTCCTTACAAACAAGCAAATAGCAGCATACGGACATTTTCCTTAAAGCATAGCACTGTTCCGTTTCAATTCGGCAATTCGGTCCAGGTGGTCACGGTTCCGTGACGGATTAGACGAAGTAACTTTCTGGTTTTCCCCAATTCACAAAACAATTCGACCATCGAAATAGTTTCCGAAGCGAAATCTGTTTCTGGAGAATGCCAACTAGTTCCTGAAAGATGTGAAAATGTGAACTCGTTTCAGAAGATCGCCAAGTAGATCGCAAAATAGTTTCTGAAGAACGCAAAATAATTCCTGAAGTCTACTTGCTGAAGAGCAGTTGCAGAAGAATAGCAAATAGTTACGGAAGAAAAACTTCAGAAGCATGAGTCCAATCCAAAGCGTTGTCATCCAGGGGGACTCAAGGCACGAATTTGGTTCAAAGAATTTGCCTAAGTCTTTTTCACAATTGTTCTATGTGTTCTATGGCGTTCCAAGAGGGAAAAAGAGCGTGTGGGGGGCATTCTGGCAAACGCTACAACTGGCTGATCTTTGTTTCCAACATCTGCGGACGATAATAGCTTCTTGTTACTACTAGTAAGGCACCTGTTACTACTAGTAAGGC